CATAAATAGCTACTAGTGTAAATAATACATATGTATATGATGAAACAGGAACAGTCGTGCGAAAACCCAGGTCAATATCTGCTGGAAGTGCTGGTTTAAGTATGCTGCTTTGCTTTTTCCTAGGCTAAATAGATACTTTCAAATCATAATTCACATGAATTATATATTCACTGAGAAACCCCGGTTGCCATCAAACTTTATATTTTTAAATAACTATGCGCACACCGAAACAACTCGCGGCGATGGAAACACTGAAACTGAGACAAACAAGTCTGGGCATGTCATAGCACACACTTTTCTTTCTCTACCTATCGCAGTGATCGACATGCCATAGCTTACTGTGCGCTCTGTGGCCACACCGTGTTTCACCCATATCCGAACAGCGGTAGCGGAGCAATGATTTCCACGCACACAGTCTCATTCATTGAATCGTTTTTATGCAATGCTCGGCATACTAGCGCATTCAAACGATTCAATATGTGGGACTGTGTGCCAGTGTTGCCAGTAACTGGGTTAATAAAATGCCGTCCAAATATGATCTAAATCCCATTTTATACTAAAGTTATAACAGAAATCCCGCTCTGTATGTATCTATTATTCATAAAATGCTTTCGGATGAAAAACCACAATCATGACTATATAGTAGATATGCATATACATAGCCTTTATATGGGTCCCTCCACGTCAAAACGCATGCCGCTTTGCCCAAAAGTGGTGGAGAGTCATCGTTATTTTTAAGATGTAAAAAGTGAGATATTTTTACGTAGAATCGAAGGTTATCTGGCGCTTATAAAAAAAATAGCAATTCGGTACTAAGTCACCATTTTCCGACCAGTCTCAAATTTTCCTATTAATCGTTTATGAAAATCTATATAAGCGACAAAAATCGTAATATGTATATGTTTTTGGGGTCACTGAACCCGAATCCGGGTCAGTTTGGTCTCACGAGGTCAGTATCGAGGTCATTTGGAGGTCAACTAAACGAACTATTGAAACCTCGAAAGTGAATCCAATCCAACTGATTAAAATTTTCTATGAAATATTATCGAAGTGATTTTGGAAAAATCTTTAGAAAAATCATGACATTCGAAATTGTATATTGATTTCTATAAAGGGTACTAGTTTTACTCCTGAGTAAAACATTATTTTTATAGTACGTGCCTAAAAGAGACTATTTTCTTTTTAAATTTTTACAAAAAATTTTACAATAATAAAATTGGTGTAAATTTAAAAAACTCCACATATCGAGGTCCTCTGCAATAACGGCATAACTCAAAATTTCATGTTTTTGAGTTTTATATCGGGATAACCATATTTTTCTGTGGCAAATCGACATACGCTTGTTGTTACGAATCCGCATAACCGAAGTAGGCAACCCTTACTACTTAACAGTGGTACATGTCTCACATTTATCATGATAGGTTAGTGATGCTTCAATGTGAAATAACGACAATTTTAGTATTGTGCCGCTGTTCAGCAATGCAAATGGAGTTTTATTCGTTTAACTACTCAGGAGTTGTTACTTATTTCGTATTTTTGCTGTCCAAAACTTACTAAATCTTTAGAAAAAGTCATAATTTGGAAGCTTACAAATTTTCCCAACAGAATGACTGCAAATAATCCGGAATAATTACGTTCCAAGACATATTATTGCTAAATTACGAAACACAAAATCTTTAATTAGCTCTACTGAGAAATATGTAATTTTGAGTTGTGTCATTATTGCAGAGGACCATCGATATTTGCAATATGCTCACAAAACTTATTATTTCTTTAAATAGTACAAATATTCTTTCCAAAGTCATATAAAATCTTGAAATTGGTTAAAAAATAACCGAGCTAAATATTTGTTTGTGCCGGAAGTCATGCGAAAATGTTACCCCCCTTTTATTATTATTATTATTACCTCCCTTTTATTAGCTCGGGATGTAACTATGTAATATTGATACGCCTAAAAGATGCAGCAATTTATATTCTCAAGTTACATACCTGATGACAGTACGAATGGAAATTATAATAGCGAGGTTTTAGTTTTTTTATTATTATTATTACCTCCCTTTTATTAGCTCGGGATGTAACTATGAAATATTGATGATATTATTTTTCTATGTTGATAAGCTATATGAAACAATTTTGGAATATGCACTTTAAAATCTGTCCAAATTTCCAAATGGTTTAGAGTGTCAATATCATATAAATTAATATCATATTGTAGATGGTATTTGGCACCAAATCTTTCTACTAATAAAGTAGCAATTTATTAATGCAATAACATTTTGGATAATATTAATAGAATGTATATTCTAATAGTGCATAAATAGTGAAAAATCCACATTTAGAATAGTTACTGGAGCGAAGAGTTTGAAAGCATACAAAATAATTTTGGTATGTACAGTGCAAGGCGAATCTATACAAGGTGGTTTATCGGATCCGATGATTTCACGACGACTTTGTACCTTTTGTCTAAATGATGTGTTCGCTGCAATTTTGTTTTGTACTGATTGTCAATGTGCGTATAATTTGTTATTGTAATTTTTGTTTTTGTTCTGTTAACACAACCTTGTATAAATTCGCCTTGGTACAGTGTACATTGCACACAAAAGTCGATGCATCGAAAAAAATACATCGATATATTGATGTATATCGGAAGGTCCAATCCATCGCTTTTATTCGATACATCGAATAGCAAACATCGATGTTTCCGATGCATCGATGTTTTTTTTGCATCCCTACCCTGACTACTTTTGCTTAAACTTTTAGACTTATCTAAAGGTTGATGGAGAACTTTAAACGCATTTTTCTCGGAAAGATAATTTTAGTCGATATCACCCTTTTCTCAGTTGTGCTCACATATACATATATACATACATCATTTACTGAGCAGTTTCAACAATTTTCTAAAGGAGGCTAAGCTCAATTAGTATACCAAATTTGGTAGTTTTTGAGGTACACATATGTATATGATATAAGTGAGCGGAGCCACGCCCGTTTTCCTAAAATTTTATGAAAAACGAATTTTTCGCTAAATCGATTTATGTAAAGTAAATCTATTCATAATTGCTCCGTCATACGACTTATTTATGGCGATCTGGAGTAGCTGCATAACCGAGTTATATATCAAATTAAAGTGCAAGCTGCAGTTGCACAAAAGTAAAACGTGGCAGAAAAGTCGATAGTGAACAGTGTAATCTATTGAAAAATATTACCCAATTTTTCGTGGAATTGTGATTCGGATTTGTTGTTATTCATAGTTTTGAAAAATATTTCGCGAAAGCTAAAGATAAAAATAGCTGAGAGCACTTTCTTTTTTAAACACCTAGGATATCACTGACAAATTTAAAGGACCTGGGATGACGGTAAAACTCAAAACTTTAAAAACTGTTTGATGTGATTTTTGAAATGAACGATCCAAATTAACTGGTATACATATTTATGTATTTTAAAATTTTTAGAATCATTGGTTGCATTTTTTGAAAGAGGTAAGAAAGCTTTAGTTTAAAAGCGTGATACTAAATGCCTTTCACCATGCAACGGCGCCAATTTTAAGTGATTATGGCGTTTCAGAGTACGGCCTTGGACGGATATTGTGAAAGGTTGGACTGTACCTTAAAAATTACTGTTTTCTCACGGCCCACTGTAGGAAGCTATGAGTAGAGTAAGGCCCTTTAATGACTTAAAAATTATCTTGGGTTATCAGGTCTCTAGCAATACAAGATTAATTATTGGGCCGTATGAGTAAAAATAAGCAATTGATTTTTCATCNTTGGGTTATCAGGTCTCTAGCAATACAAGATTAATTATTGGGCCGTATGAATAAAAATAAGCAATTGCTTTTTCATAATATTTCAGACCTTTTACTCGATTTATTCAAACAAAAGTGAAGTAACAGGTATGAAATTTTAAGAAAAAGCAATTGCTCAGTTTTTATTCACGAAGTTCTTTCAATAAATTTTGAGCTGAATACTGAAGTATATTCATGAATATCACTTTTTATTTTTACTCAAGTTTAAATACTGACATAGATAATATCTGCAAGTATATTTCGGGTGAATGCATTAACCCGAATTTCGGCGGGTTGTTACTAGTACTGATGAATTCCTTAGCCACACTGCTAAAAAAATATGAAATATTATATTATATACATATATATAAATATAAAGTAAAGCGCGCATTTCCGCTTAACTTTGACAATTTTTTGCGATTGCATTAGGTGAGGTATAAATTTATTCAAAAGTAAGTTCACTTTTAGATAGGTACTACATATTTTGCAACTTTCATTTTTCAAATTAGCCATGGTCAAGATTGAAAATATTATAAAGAAAGGCTAAGTCTAACAATATATTGTTAAAGCNAGCGCGCATTTCCGCTTAACTTTGACAATTTTTTGCGATTGCATTAGGTGCGGTATAAATTTATTCAAAAGTAAGTTCACTTTTAGATAGGTACTACATATTTTGCAACTTTAATTTTTCAAATTAGCCATGGTCAAGATTGAAAATATTATAAAGAAAGGCTAAGTCTAACAATATATTGTTAAAGTTCTTTAAATTCCCTTTTCAAAACAATGCTGATTTTTAAAATCGGATGAAACATAGTCAAACAGTTAATAGATAAGTGCGTCAGTTACGAATATAAAATTTTTTTGATTTAAAAAAACTGAGGTTTCAGGAACTAAATATAACAAACTTGTTGGAATTATCGTGTTTTGCTATGGAGCTCTTCAGTTGCGATTCCATGCAATTTTCATTCACATCTATCAATCTTCACGCTAACTTTGTTTCTCAATACTATTGTTTTGCAGAAGTCCGCTCGGAAGGCAGAGTTGTTTGCTACTACACAAATTGGAGTGTCTACAGACCAGGCACAGCGAAATTCAATCCACAGAACATCAATCCATACTTGTGTACACATTTGGTGTACGCTTTTGGTGGATTTACAAAGGACAATCAGATGAAGCCGTTCGACAAGTACCAAGACATTGAACAGGGTGAGTCAATAAAAAATTGTGTTTTATAGATTTTAGTTAATTAAAAAATATGTTTGTTAACTTCATGTGTTCAAGAAGTGAACAAGTTGTTTAGAGCAACGGGTCGAATGTTTTGTTTAAAATTATTTAACTGTGCATATCGAGCCCTAACCGCCAAAATAACGTTAGCGACATTTTTTTCAAAATTGTATTTTTGATGCAGAAATATTCCTAGGGCATCTAGATGTATTTCTGCATCAAAAAGAAAATTTTGAAAACAATTGCGCTTACGTTATTTTGGCGGTTAGGGCTCGATATGTACATATAGCACATACTTAACCATTCAGGAAATCCAATTAATTTGAAAGTAATTTATAAACTACTTTATTTCCAATAATAACTAAATAATTGAAATTTGATATCAACTACTTTAAACTACTTGAATACGCTTTCGTTCTGCACTTCACAGATGGTTTTTCATATTTCCAAGACGCAAACAAAATATTGAATTACCATTTTCACATGTTGCCTTGTTCAGTTTGAATTGTGTGCAAGCAGCAAGTCGATTGTCCGATTCTGCATTTGATTTCAACTACTTTAAAATACATTTGCTTGCGGAACTTCAACTTCAGAATTTTTCTTTTCAATACGCTTTCGTTCTGCACTTCACAGATGCGTTTTCATACTTCCAAGACAAAAATTCTTTCTTTGAGTAAAAAGAGTATCAAAATTCGAAAGATTTCCTCACTGCATTTGTTTCAAAGTAGTCTTTCAATTATGTAGTTGGTTTAAAAGACCACTTTCTTCCGTCAGGGAAGTTTGGAAATACACTCATATGTATGTGTGTTTCCTTTCCTACGTTTGCATAGTAACAATTTCCCATAAACACATTCCAATTGAAAGCAATTAACCTTCCATCCTTTATCATATTTCTATGACATCCTGCTACTCTTCACTTAATACCATCCCTTTTGTGCCACCACTGCATAGGCGGCTATGCCAAGTTTACCGGACTTAAATCGTACAACAAGCAATTGAAAACAATGATTGCCATTGGTGGCTGGAATGAGGCCTCCTCACGCTTCTCCCCGCTTATGGCGAACCCAGAGAGACGTCAACAATTCATTAAGAACATTTTAAAATTCCTGCGCCAGAATCATTTTGACGGCATCGATCTAGATTGGGAGTATCCGGCGCAGCGTGAGGGTGGCAAGCAGCGCGACCGCGATAATTATGCCCAGTTTGTGCAAGAGTTGCGCGCCGAGTTCGAGCGTGAGTCGGAGAAGACCGGACGTCCACGTCTGTTGTTGACAATGGCCGTGCCAGCGGGCATCGAGAACATCGAAAAGGGTTACGATATACCAAAACTAAACAAATACCTCGACTGGTTCAACGTGCTCACATATGATTTTCATTCATCGCACGAACCATCGGCTAATCATCATGCTCCATTGTATTCGCTGGAGGAAGAGTCCGAATACAATTATGATGCCGAGTTGAATATTGTAAGTTATGAGAATGGAGGAAATATGAAGGATGTTGTAATTGAAATTTTGATTTGTGTAATTGAATTTTTTCCCTGTCATTTTGCTTTTGCTAGGACTATTCCATAAAATTTTATTTGAAAGCTGGCGCTGACCGCGACAAATTGGTGTTGGGAATACCCACCTATGGACGTTCATACACGCTCATCAATGAAGAGAGCACAGATATTGGAGCGCCATCGGAGGGGCCGGGTGAACAGGGTGATGCTACCCGTGAGAAGGGATACTTAGCGTACTATGAGGTATGTACACTGCAAATTGAGTTTATTTTTAATCATATAATTTTTATGTTAAATAATATCTGTGCCGTATACTAATATATGAAAATATCGAGGGCTTTTATTTAATACCCTCTATCTGCAATTTTCACATATGTATGAGTAGTCCACATGCAAACAGCGTTATGTGCTTTTATAATAGAAAGCCATAAATTTGAAAAAAACGACTACGATATCAAGTAACAGTATCAAGTAACTGGAGCAAATCAACTTACGCTGAGCTAGCCTGAAAAGGGACGGTACTGGTTCTTCATCTATCGCAAATCAATGCTTTCAACTGTCTTTTTTAACATGACGATGTCCTACGAAGTGACAATTGTCGCCCTCTGCAGAACTTTTGAACTTGTTCTGAGCTGACCCAGGTTAGATGGTTCTGAGACAGTTCATATAAAAACAGTTCCTAGATAGTTCAAAAAGGTCACCTCCGAGCTAGAAAAAATGTGGTTACTTTTCAGCTGGTTCTAAGAAGTATAGTATAGAGCATTTTCTTTGAATAAGCACGCATACAATTTTGTAAATAAAAAATACTTCATTTTAGGTTTAAATAGCTATTTGGTTTGCACTAATTTACTTTTTGAGGCAATTTGTGCTTTAAAATTAGGAACATAAAGTGTCAATTATTCCTTCATTTTCTAAAACCGTTATTCTTAAAAATAACTTATATTTGTTACGCATAACGTGGATTTCCGTGTTACTTATAGTTTATAGTTAAGTTTATAACTCTTTCAAAAAGTTTGGAACTTGAAGACATTTTATAGAGGTCTATCATGTTTGCATCACAGTTAGGAATTTGAGTTCAATTGGTTTATGGAATATGGGACATAGTACTTAAATAAACCTTTACGAAAAATATTTAAATGAAAAACATTGGAATTAAACAAAAATCACTGCATAACTACTCATTGCAGGTGCTCAGTGATATATTTATGTAGGTATGTGCAGTATCAGTCATATCAATAGCACCCTCATTTCAAAGTGAGATTGTTTACCACTTTCGGTTATTTTTTTAAATCTGATTAAAAAGTAAAAAATTTAGATGAAAACCCGTTAAATTTACTTTTGTTTTGTATAAAGTTTTAAAACACGGTTTACATGATATTGTTTTAAGCATGATCATTTTCTTTATAAAATAATAACAAACAAATTTTAACTCTCAATATATTGTGTATATATAAAAAAGAAATGGTGTACGCAGACTTTTGCTGTTAAGTTTAGCTTAACTAAATTTCATTGTTATATTTTGAATTCAATTTTATACGAACGTATATATGTATAACAATGTCATTAGTTGCGATCCCGTACGAGTCCGGAATAGTCAGAATCAGTCAGATTTTACTGGAAATCGATCCCGTACTCCAGACGTGGGCACTTTTTTGCCCGCGCAGCAGCGAAAGTGCGAGCGCGGGCTAGAGAAAGGGGAAAACAGTTTACGGGAGGCAGGGTATGAAAAGTGGCGAACAAATTATTTATATCTCCACCGACATCATGTTCATCGCAGTACGGCTGCTAGAGCTGGAAAACTATCGATGGCACTATCGATAGTATCGATGGGTTTTGTAAGCACTATCGATGGTTTTCACTCATACATACATTATTTTCAATAAAAGTAAAAGACGCCGGTACCTGTTTCATCTTGTCAGTCGGAAGTGACATTTAGTAAAGCATGGCAAATAATTTCAGAGCGGAGATGCTCCTTGAAGCCAAAAATCGTTGATAAACTTTTGTTCCTTAACAAAAATATGGACTTATTTTAACAATTCTGATCTCATTTACAATAAAAGTTGCTATGTTAAATTTTTGGACTTTTTCAATCAAAACTATCGATAGTACTATCGATAGTGTCGACATTTTCGATAGTATCGATGGCCACGAGTAGCGATAGTTTTCCAGCTCTAACGGCTGCGGTAGTACTGATTTTGTGCACCAAACAAAGAGCGTAAATTTTCCTCATATACACTATAAGCCATCGTTCGGACTTGCTCCGATAGGAGTAGATTTGTTCCATTTTGTCGAAATAATTTGAAACCTAGTCCTCTACTCCGCTCAACTGAAAATCTGCTCCGTTTGGTTGCATCAACAAATTTACTCTTCAAATAGAAAGGAGGTGGGGTTTTTAATAGCAAACTAAAAGTTATACTTTACCTTTTTATCGACACGATTGTTACATTGGTGAGCTACAGCACCTTTGCAAATACACTTGAATTCGTGAATAGGCCCTCACAATCGCCCGATTTGAACCCGATCGAAAAATATTGCTCTGTCTAAAGTTCTGTAATTGCGTCGTTGCCCACCGATGTAACAATTGTCCCGGTAAAGAAAGAATGAAATAACATTTTATTAATTTTAACCAAGGCATTTTAACTTAAATGATAATTGCTCGCTAGATTAGGGCGTCGTTCAACCAAAATCGGCCCGTGTAAATGACATCTCAACCGTAAAATTTTCCAGTCTACAGAAATCGACCCTTGTAAAGGCAGCTTTAGCCCCTTATTCAGCCCCAGAATACAGTGATACGAGGAGAAATGAATTGTTGTTTTTTTAAGATAAGAAATGCACATCTACTACGAAAACTTGATTTCTACTTCCATTTTTGCAGTCTGAACCCAGCAAAAAGCGCTCGATGAAGGTCAGCTAGTGATCAGTATTGCCAAGTTTTTTATTTAAAAAGGCACCAAAACACTGAAAATAGCACAAATTTGCCAAAAAAACACCAAATTTGTGTTGCTGTGTTTAATGGTATTTTTGCATATAAAGCTGTATGTTAAAATATTTTAAGTAATCACGCAATGTCACTTGTAAATATTTCCAACTATGTGCAGTTAATTAATTTAATTTGCAAAATGTTGTTTTTTATTCGTAACACAATTGGCAAAACTTAACTTGGTTTCTCTAGAGGCTTTATTTTCATGCAATTGCTTACTTTTGTACAAATGCCCACACCCAGCTAATTAGCAGAATATTCTATGAATTCCGTGATAGAGACTGTGTGAAAATATTGCGTTTGGTTTATCTGGGAGCATATTATCCAGAGGAGAAGCTCGGCCAAACACTAACATATGTGTAGGTCAACGGATAAAGTTTTCCGTACGTTTTGGAATGAATAAATGAATGAACAAAATAAATACAATGTCACCATAGAGTCACGTTTTTATTAGAACGAAACAAGCGCTAAACTAAAAAATGTTCGCGTTTTAATTCCCTAAACGCACTTAATTTATTGCGAAAGGCACAAAGTTGGCAACAGTTATAGCGATGTCAAATATGCTCATATACGAGCATGGACAGAGAGTGAGCGCCTGCTTAAAAAGCGTAAGCATTACATGCGTATACATGCGAGAGCGTAAAGGCCCGTTTACATACAACTTTGGCGTTGCGTTAGCGTTGGCGTCGCTTCGACAGCTGACTATGAATACATGCACTTATATTAAAGTCTCTACATAACCAAAGTTGGGCAACGCCCATGCCAACACAACGCAGAAAGATGGCCAACTCGCAACTTTTCACGCGCGTCGTTCGTTAGTTGTTCCAAATAATCAAAATTACCTTATTTAATTTTCCTTTTTAATCAAATGCGGACAAGAAATATAGTTTTTAATGCAATTATTGATATAAAATTTTGATTTATATGCCGCTGGTATGTAAATTTAGTGACCAAAGTATTCTCTGCTAAGCGTTCATTGTAGCAAGCACGGGCGTTACTCGCGCTGCTGTCAAAGCGACGCCAGCGCCAATGCAAGGCCAAAGTTGTATGTGGACGGGCCTTAACAAAGTGAACGCAAAATCGTTCAAACGTAACCCACCCGACCAAGAAACGTAGGTTAGCGGATGTTACGAGTTTTACGATAGTTTCTCTTACCCTCACGCTCCGCCTCACCTAAGAGTCTCGTATTTCAAACGGAAGTTGTGTTTTTGCTTTGTCCGTTGAATGTATCGAGATTGTTTTCGTTTTATAGTTTTTCTTTAACTTTTCTCGGACAAAATATTCGAAAAAGTATATAGAAGGAGGCATTGATTTAGTAAACATTTTGTAAGAAATTTTCTATCATTAAAAAATAAAACGTTTTGTTTCACGTATGCACGTGTTAATAAATTAATTGAAAATTATAAGGAATCACATAATAAATCAGAGTAAGTATTGAAACTCCTTTGCATTGCCAATTCCCACCCGACCAACGTACACGAGAATGCATCCGGTTTAGCAACACTTTCACTTACAAAACTATTGAGAACGGGTTCCGAAAAAGTATCGTAAAAGTATTACCTGTCGCTCAGTTTGTGGCAGCAGAGCTCTCGTTCTCGACATGCGTTTTCAAATGGCTTTTCGAAGTGTTTTCGATAGTGGAAACGTATCTCAGACGGAAGTTATTGCGATCCGTTTTGCTATCGAGAAATTAATGAAAGCGGCAATGATTTCGATCTGCTCTGTTATCGCGAAAGTAACGAAAACGAAAGATATTTCGATCTCTTTCTCCATCGATAAATTAATGAAAACGGCAATGTTTTCGATCTGTTCGATTATCGAGAAAGCAGCGAAAACGAAAGATATTTCGATACGTTTCTTTATCGAGAAATTAATGAAAACGATAATTAGAGCTGTTCCATTCCAGTTGATTCCCATATAAGAAGAGTGCTTTTACAATTTTAACAGTTGTTTTATATTTAACAGAATGATCAGTTTTATTAAGTTTTAAAACAATTTAAAAATTAAAATAATAAATATTCATTATTTAAAAATTATAACATGAGCATGTAACTAAAACTTATGATTCTTGTACATAATTTTCAATCCTTTGTTTTTTTCCTGGTACTTCTAAATTTTGTAGACTCGGGTCATGTGCGTAATGAAAATTTGTTTGACTTGTTTTGTCAAATTCGCTGTCCTCCAACGCAAACTTGTTTGTAAACGCGTCTTCAAATAATGATCGCCACGAGCTTCTTATAAATTTATCGTACGACTTCTCTCC